TAAGATAATCAGCGATACTTGAACTAACAATACTTTCCATGACACAACAGCTAGTACATGTGAGGGAGATAAGTCTATAATTGTTAGTATCTAAAGTAGATCTTTTTTAAAAAATAAGGGAAATTGTAGCTTGAAGCCACTGTTTTGGTAACGAGCTTGACGTAAAACTTGGTTCAAATATATATGAAAGCAGAATACATATTATATGTGCTAATTTGTTTAAATGTAACCTTTATTCATTTCAATTCAAAGTTATCCAATCAAAATTTAAATTGGATAGTTTTAACATAAAGTTGCATAACTTTACACACTAAGAATATGCTGCAAAGATTTCTAGTTTTTTATTTTTAAAATGTTAAAAATTTGAAGTAGATGATCAACCACAAAATATAGCAAAAGCTGAATTGTTTTCTGAACTTTTTTAAAAAAAATAAGAATAACTGATTAAACAAAAAGTATAGAACTTTAGACCCCCTCCCTTCCCCTCTATTTACATGGAAATTAAAACTTAAAAATATTAAAAGAATGTTTAGTTTTAAATTATTAAAATGGAATAACCTCAAGTAAAAGCATATTTAAAACCACATCAAACTCATTTGCTCAAAGTTGTAATTTAAAACTGTTTGCTGCTCTTCTGTTTACAGCAATAAAATTAAAAGGTTTTACTAAAACCTTTTTATTTTTTATAATCTTTTTTTTTTTTAATATTTTTCTTATGCTTTATTTCATACTGTATCAAAAAAAAAAAAGAAATAAATAATATTTTATTTTTACACTATGGCAAATTAGAGTTTAGGCAGATTTATTTAAGTGCCTGAACGAGCAAAAAATAAAAAATAAGCAGTTTTTTTAACTATAATGGTTTTCTGGTTTTTTGAGAAATGTTCATAATAAAAAATAGGTATTAAGTAATAAAAAACTAGTTTCAGTTAAATGCTGATTAAAAAACTAAAACAAATCTTTTGAAATCACAAAATGTTGTAAACAAGTTATAAACAAAAACTTCTCAATAATGCTATCACTCAAAAAAAAAGTTTGATTGAATTTTTTGTAGATCTTTTTTTAAGTTTAATGCAATGATTGTTATTTTTAACACAGTTTTTATTATTTTTTAAACTTTTATTCTCACTTGTTTAGGCTTTTTCTACTTCAACATTTCTTAAAGAAAACTCAAGTGTTGTGGACACATTCAAACAAGTTTTTTTTGCTGATTTAAATAACAGGTTTGGATTTTAATTATATATTTTTATATTTTGTTAAAGTTAACTAGTTATTTAATTTGGTATATATGTAACAATGTATGCTCACACAATTTTTTTTACACTCAATAACATAGAAATAATTGTGTTAGTCCTGCTGTAATACTTGTGAAGAAGTTAATAATGGTGTTAGAGTCCTCTGAAAAACTCCCTGTTGTAACATATGAAAGCATTGGTGGTGGATCATGTTTGCAGGTATTTTCATTTTATGTTTGCTTTAATTTTGACAGGAAAAAAACAAACTAAATTTGCAAAGACTAAATTATTAATTTTTGGGAATAAAAATTTTAAAAAAGAAAGTTTTTTTTTTTGTAAATTTAGATTTTATTACGGCGCCTTCGATTTAAACTTGATTGTGGAAGTCATTCAATAAATTTAATCGACAAGTCAGGCCGATACATCAAAATGGAACCTTTAACTACTGTTAAAGAAGTTGAAAAATTTCTGAACAAAATGGTAATATGATTTTTGTAATTGTTTAAAATTTGAATTTCAAATTCTATTGATCATAATTTGTAAAAATCTTTTTTATTAAAAATAGTTTTTTTATTAGGTTGCAAAACAATGGTTTGACTTTGAGCGACAATCATTTTCTTTTGTCAAGCAATTCAAAGAAAGTTCATCTCCTATTTTATTTGAATATGAAAATGATTTTGATGAAAATGGAATAATCTATTGGCTAGGAACAAATGGAAAGTATGTTTTTATATGAAGTGAAATTATTTGACTTAACATTTTAGGTTTTCTGATTGTTAATTGTTAATTTTTTAGGTCTGTGAAGGAATGGGTTAATCCGGGATCTCATAATATAGTTTTAATTAGCTCATCAGAAGGCAAAGATCTTCCATATGGTCATCTAGAAGATATAATTGGCAGAGATTCTGCACCAGTCAACTGTCATACAAATGATGACAAGTAAATATAAATTTAATTAAAAATAATTATCAGGCTTTTATTTTACTTATAAAACTTTTTTTTTTACATATAAAACTTTGTTTACAGGGCAGCATGGTTTTCTATTGACCTAGGAGTTCATGTAATCCCTACAGCTTATACCCTACGTCATGCTCGAGGATATGGGAGGTAGTTTTATATATTTTTAACTTTCCAAAAAAAACTTCAATAAATAAAGTAATAACTTAAATTTTTATATAAGATTTCATTATTTTATATAGATTTTATTATTTTATAAAAGAACTATTTTTAATTTTTTAGGTGACATTAACGCATGAACAATAAACCCTAAACATATTAAAACACATAAATACATTAATAACAACCTATTTATACATTATTAATACCACATTAACACTTCAATGGCATACATGAAAACATTGCATGAAAAATATGTTGTTGCTAAAAATGTATGACAAAACTATATTATTATAAAATATGTTGTTGCTAAGATTTGAAGTGTAGTGTCTCAACAAACTTGAAATACTTGAAAGGTTGAAAGATGTTGATAGCAAAAAAGCAGCAAAGCAGGCTAAAAAACAATGTAAGCTTAGTTCTATTGGCAAACAGTAAATAAATCAAGCAACAAGTCCAGCAAAAATTTTAGCTGCAAATCAATTTAAGTGTAAAAAGTGCCAAAATGTTTTAGGCAAAGCTTCAGCAAGTCTAAATGGAATGGTACCAGTGTGAAAATTCAAATTGCAAGGTTTAGCAATTAGGTATGGATGTTTGACAAGGTATGTCAGACATCCATACCAAAGCGATATGTGAAAGCCCCTGAGTTTTATTACACCAAAAGTTGTTGCACGACTGAAAACTCAGCTCAACCTCTAGTACCTCTAAACGACTCTTTGATTGATTTTTAATTATTATTATTATTGATTGTTTTTAATTGTTGTTATTGATTGCTTTTTGTTTTATTAAGAAAGTGTTGTTTTAATTACATATTTGCTTATTTCATTCACCCCGAATGTCAGTGTAGAATGGAATAAATTTTTTTTTTAATCAAATAAAGTTTCATAAAAAACTTTTATAAAATTGATTAGATTTTATATATTTAAATACAGCTCAATATTCTCTACAACTTTAAAAAAAAACTAGAAATGTTTTTTCCGGAAAAAATAAATAATTAAAATCCTTAACTATTCCATTTTACTCTATATTTTTAAGCAAATGTTTTTGTTTTTTCAAGTAAGTAATGTTTAAATAATCTTAATTTTCTATTTAAACAATTTTTAAGTGAATTAAATTATAAACTATTTTTTTAATACCACTGTTGTTTTTATTAATTAATTAGAGTTTTTATTCAAAGCGGGTATAGATATCTCAATCGTCATTATTTGTGTCATCTTTTTTTTGTCATATAAGTATGAAGAATAATGCTATTGTATGATCTTATCTTCTAAACAAATAATGGCTTTACCATACTACTTTAGCTGATAGATTGTTCATTTCTAACCCATTAGAAATCTGTAAAAAAAAGTTTAACAGCAGGTACACCTATTGTTAAAAAGATATAAAAACAAAACAAAAAACATACACATTTTTTAAATCAAAATTATAGTTTTCATTTATTATTATTATTATAAGTTTTTTTTATTATTTTCATCGTTGATATAATCATAATATATTATTTTTATTAAAATTATTATTATTGTTCATTTGAAATCAATTTTATAACACCTTTAATTAAGCCCAATAAATACATAAATAATATTATTTATGTATATAATGTCAATAATGTATGTTTTTAGAAATGTTGAAAAAGTCAATATTCTTCAGATTTTCCAGTTTTATTATTGTTTTTATAAGAGATCATATACTTTGTTAATAATGTACACATTTTTTAACTCCATAGATCTGCTCTTCGTAATTGGCTGTTTCAAGTATCCAAAGATGGTGTCTCCTGGTTGACTTTAAAAAAGCATGAAAATGATGAAAGTCTAAAGGAACCAGGGTAACATTTTATTTATAAAGAAAAGTTATAGTTATTAATTATAGCATAGAAATAATATTTATCTTAACTAAAATTAGGGTATAGTAGTTATTGGTATTGTAATTGTAATTGTAATTGAAATTGTAAAGGTATAGTAATTATTGGTAAGGTATAGTAATTATTGACTTGTTATTGACTTGTAGTCAATAAAAAGTTACCCAACATACTTAGTAATGATTTTTCCTAAGAGATTGTTTAAAAGATATATTTAGACTTAATGAGCAAATAGAAGTTTTAATACATATTTTTTATATTTCATATTTAAAAAATATTAGAAGAATACTGTTCCTATCAACACTATGTTCCAAATATCGTAGAACGATATTTGGAACATAGTGTTGATAGGAACAGTAACAGAAAAAGGATGAGACTTAATTGAATGACAAGTAACACAAGAATGAATTTTAGTAGGTGGCACAAGAGACGCTAGCTCTTTAGAGCAGTGCCCATTATAGTATTTGTAGAAAAGTGAAAGAGAAGCAACATTACGACGATGTGACAGAGGTTGAAGGTTGGCTGCAAGAGCAGGTCTAACTATGTTTACAATGCAGTTTTGCACCTTGTCTAAAAGAGAAAGGGCATCATTAGAAGATCCATCCCAGATATGGCAACAGTATTCCATACAAGGCTGGATTTGAGATTTATAGAGATTGAGAATAGAATCCAGAGTAAGAAAGTGACGAGCTCGATAAAGAGAAGCGATGCTAATTTTGCAACAGATCCGATATAACGTTTCCAAGAAAGATCAGAAGTAAGAGTTAATCCTAGAAGATGAAGGGTAGGAGACTCATCGAGTACATTACCGTTCATAAATATAGGAAGGTCTAAATTATTGCTATAACGATTGGCTGAAAAAAATTGAGTTTTGTGTGAATTAAAGTTCACCAGCCACTGTGAGCCCCATGCTGTAGCAGAAGTGAGATCCTTTTCAAGCTCAAATGCCCCCTGCAAGCAATCAGAGGGAGTTGGCTTCTTATCGTGACAAGAATAAATGGTAGTATCATCAGCAAACAATGCCACCTTAGATGTGAGAATATCTGGAAGATCGTTAATGTAAATTAAAAAAAGTATAGGGCCAAGGATTGAACCTTGAGGAACCCCTGAGGTTACAGAATAAGAAGAAGAGTGCTGTCCATCAAGGCAACTTTTATACTACAATTGGAAAGGAAGGATTCAATAATCTTAAAGATGTTTCCAGATACCCTAAAAGAAGAAAGCTTATGGAGAAGACCAGCATGTTAACTTTATCAAATGCTTTAGAAATATCAAGAGCGATGGCCTTAACCTCTCCAGCTTTATCTAATGCGCGATAAAACCTATCGGTTATTACTGTTAGCAAATCAGCCGTAGAACGAGAAGATTGAAATCCATATTGATGATCAGAAAGTAGGTTATGAGATTCGAGATGAGAGATTAAGTGTTTGTTAATTAAAGATTCAAAAACCTTGCTTATGATAGGAAGAAAACTAATGGGACTGTAATTAGACGATTTGGATCACTCTCCAGAATTTTTAAAAATAGGGATAACAGATGCTGCTCTTTAGCAGGCTGGAAAACAAGACTCTGATAAGCACTTGTTAAATAGTTTTGAAAAGATAGACGACAGCTCAGGAGAACACTTCTGCAAGATTATAACAGGTATGTTGTCCGGGCCGCAAGCTGTAGAAGAGTTTAAGTGGGAAATCACTTTAGATACAGAAGCTGGAGTGATACAAATGTCGAGCAGTGGATCAACCTGTTTGACGGCTATATCAGGTAGAACGCAACTAGTGGAATCCAGAGATGATATTGATGAAAAGTTCTTGGCAAACAATTCAGCTTTGTCTTTAGGTGAGGTGACAAAGTCTGAACCGCACAAAAGAGGTGGAATTACAGACTTGCCCTTATTATTGATACTATTAAAGATTCTCCAGAAGTTACGAGAGCCTAATTTTTGTGATAAAATACAAGATTTCATGTTCTGAGAATAGCGGGTTTTGGCGTTATAAAAAACCTTTTTACAATGGTTCCTAGCAGTAATAAACAGACGTCTGTTTTCTGGAGAATTGTTTTGCTGATAGAAATGGGAGTAATGGTTTCGATTGGCAATTGCAGCAGCACAATGTGAGGAAAACCATGGAGAAGAGTGAGGCTTGACCTGGAATTGTTGAGAGGGAATAAAGGATTCCATGCCAGCCTGAATCTATGAAGTTATGTAAGAAGCACATTTGTTAACAGGAAGACAAAAGATTTCTACCCAGGGGCCATCACGAAGAAAATCACGGAAAGAGTCCCAATCAGCTTTAAGGTAGTTGTAAGATGTACAATGATAGGGGGATTCAGATGGTAAAGAAGAATGAGATAATAGTTTTAGAGAGACCAAACCATGATCAGAAGCATCTAAGGGTAAGTGTGGAGAAACTGAGCACTGACTAGGATTATAAACAAAACATAAGTCGAGTAGAAAAGGTAAATGATTTGGGTTGTCTGAAAAGCGAGTTGGAAAGTTGACTGTTTGAGTTAGGGATTGAGAAAGGCAAAAGTTGTGGGCTCTAATGCCTGCGGAGTCACTGACACTAGAGCCAAGCCATTCAGTGTGATGAACATTCAAGTCACCGACAATAACAATATTGGCTGATGGATAAAGAATGAGGGCTTGGTCAATATAATCAGAAATAACATCAACAAGAGTGCAGTCTTGAGATGAAGGAGAGTGATATAGAACAAAGAGAAAGGTGATAGAGGGAAGTGGTGCTAAACGAAAGCACATAAAAGAGTAGTCTGTGGATTCAATTATTAAAAACCAGGATTAATTATTAAAAAACTTACATGGCGTTGACACGAACCAGGCTTATGAAGATGAAACAAACCAAAAAAGTTGCACTTGTTTTGTCCGCTGCAAAATGGCACTTGTCAACGAAATTCTGCCTGTGTGCTGTCACCTGTCAGCTGATTGCTTAAGTCATGGCATGCTATGACTCCAGACTCCTGAACTGTTTGCTGTGGTAGTATAGTTCGTTTCGTTTTTAAGACATGTAAAATTAGGAACACTTTTTAGCATTGTTTGATGTTGGTTGCAAATGTTTTGTCCTATACTGTATGTATATGTATATATATATATATATATATATATATATATATATATATATATATATATATATATATATATATATATATATATATATATATATATATATATATATATATATATATATATATATATATATATATATATATATATGCGGTGTAGTGGTAGAGCGCTCGCTTAGTAAGTTAGAGGTTCTGAGTTCGATCCCCACCATATCCCTGATA